ACTTTTCTTTTATAAGGTTTATAAAACTGAAAAAATTGGAATGTAGGGCAAAGCAGATATAAAAAAAAACAAAACCATTTGTCATCCAAATACTCGCTTGTATTTTCATTATTTTCTTCCAGTTCACTTAAAAGAATATCATTATGGTCAAGTAGTTTATGAAATAGTTATACTGACTTCTTAAAAGAATATTATGATCATGTCATATATCAAATAGTTATACTGACTTCTTAAATATATATATTTAATTATAAAAGTAATATAGGGTCATTAGAGAAAGTTAAAAAATGGGAAAGTGGGAAGAATAAAATAATTTCGAATTGTGTTACCTAGAACTAATACTTGAGTATATTTCCTTACTGCCTTTTCTAAAGCATTACTTAGTCACAGTTTAGATCATATTGTGCAGATTTATTTTTGAATAAACACTGGAACACTTGTAGTTTTTAAATAAGTGTCATTTGACATATTACTTACCACTTAGTAGTTTTCTTGTACCCTAACCTTTAAAAATGACTTCATTGATTCTATATGAATTTGTTTTAGATTATACATGTGCCTCTTATTTTTTAAATTTTACATATGTATGTATGATATATATCTGATCTCTAGATCCAGATTAAAGGTTTTGCGTCAGACCCACACAATTATCAATATTTAATAAAATAGTAAAAATCTCTATTGTCTTTCCAAATTGACTAATTCTCTGAAGGTCCCTGACAGCTGAATTTTCACTGTACCTTGTATATTATCATTAATGGACCAAAGACATCAGCATTTCCACTGGCTCTTCTTTGCTTTTGCTCCTTGAGATAAGATACCTGTGGTTCTGGCATCCTTATGGAGGACAGCAGCTCAGGAGAAGAAAATGCTCCGAATAGTGGTCTTAAAAGAAACTAGAGAGTAAAACGGAGCACCATGTGCCTCCTCCCACCTCTTCTCCTGGCTCCTTATACTGACTGTAATGCCAAAATGTCTCATGTGAAGATGCAGACTGATACGGGACCTCAGCGCTGCAGTTCCCTGCTAAAACACTGATAGACTGGGCTGTCTAGCTCTGTGAATTTTTAAAGCATACAGAAAATCATTATTCGAGTTATTTGGTCCTGAAACTGGTCTGTTTTATTACTTACAGTACTTCTGCTTTTGAGGAGAGAGGGAAGGTAAAGACAAAATTTTGTTTTGTATTTTTTCTTACATAGTGTCCAAAATGTGATTTGGATGTGGTTGTCAACCATGGCAAGAGAGATTCTCATTTACCAGTGGGGTGAAAAAAAATAATTCTAGAAACATTTTATAGGATTGAGGAGGAACTGAAATAGCTAGACTTAAGTATTTTGCATTAAAAATTTTTTTTTTAATTATTGAAGTGTAATATACAAAAGTGCACGGATCCTAAGTGTACAGCTTAATGAACATACTTGTGTAACCAGCATCCAAATCAAGAAATAGAACATTACCTAAAGTAAGTGTTGCAGTAATTTTCTTTCCAGAAGGCTCTGTCGGTGGTAAATTTTCTAGTCTCCTTGATTCTGTGACGATCTTTCTATGACCTTCACACATTGTACAGATTATTTGATTATGTCCAAAATTTTTAAATCACAACCTTTTCTCCTTAGAATTCTATGCATATTATACCAGCGATGTTAGAAATTTAATATTCCAGAAAACAAAACTACAGACCATTGTAATTTAAGTTTTTTCCCCACAGATAGTTTACAAGCCCTGTACTCTAGATCCTCTTTTTTTTTTTTCATCAGAAATTCCAAACTCCTTGTATCCATGAGGCCACAGCAGATACCAGGGGTAAGGATATGAAGACCAGTAACTATGATTATGTGATGGCTGGTGAACAAGGGTGCTGATTATTTGAGACTAGTTTTGTCTTAGAATTCCTTTTAACCATTTTTCTATTTCACAGTAACATCATTTTTTATGTGCACAGGAGTTTCCTGGGGCACCTGTTAACAATGCAAATGCCTGTGCAGGATCCCCAAAAGTTCTGATTCCACAGATCTGGGGCCCAAGAATCTACATTTTAAACAAATATCTCATTTGATTCTAAAGAACGTTGTTCCTGGATAGGTTGTTTAAGTCAGGATACTTGAGAGTAAAGGGAGGCGCTATTAATAATTACATCAGGATAAAATAAACAAACTGGAAATATCCTAGTAAACATACACAGACATATATCTGGGGCATA